TGAGGTTGCTGTGAGCTGTGATGCCACAGCACCCTACCCAGGGTGACAGCTTGAGGCTCTGTCCCAAAAAAAAAAAAAACCAGGCTGCTGTTATAGAACATACATTCTGTATTAATAAAGCTTTTTTTAAAAAAGCATCTTAAGTGTCCAATAGTATATAAGACCTAAGGTGCTACTCCAGGTATGAAAGGTACAAAAGCATTATTTCACACAAAATTATACTCTAACATCAAGTAACTTCCCATCTCTACAGATTTACAGGGCTACAAACAGACACAGATCAAGTTTTTATCTCTTTAAGACCATAGATCCACTATTAAGTTTAAAAAAAAAAAAAAAGGGCAGGCCCCCCCTGCCACAGTAGCTCATGCCTGTAATCCCAGCACTTGGGAGGCCAAGGCCTGGAACTAACAGGTTCGAGACCAGCCTGAGCCAGGGTGAGGCTTCCTCTTTAAAAAATAGCCAGGCTGGCTCAGCACCTGTAGAGGGTGCCGGCCACATGCCCTGGGGCTGGGAGGTTAAAACCCAGCCCAGTTCTGCCAAACAAGGACAACTATTAACTAAAGCAGCTGGGCAGCTCCCCGTCCACAGCACAGTGGTTAGCACAGGGGTTACAGCACCAGCCACATACACCAAGGGTGGTGCACTCAAACTTGGCCTGGACCCGCTAAACAACTGCAACAACAAAATAAATAACCAGGCATTGTGGTGGGCACCTATAGTGCCAGCTACTTGGGAGGATGAGGCAAGAGAATCACTTAAGCCCAAGAGTTTGAGGTTGCTGTGAGCTATGATGTCACAGCACTCTACCGCAGGGTGACATAGAGACTGTCTCAAAAAAAAAAAAAAAAAGCCGGTCATGGTGACAGGCACCTATAGTACCATCTACTTGGGAGGCTGATGCAAGAGAATCAAGAATCACTTAAGCCCAAAAGTTTGTTGTTGCTGTGAGCTATGATGCTACAGTACTCTACCAAGGGTGAGAAAGGAAGACTCTGTCACCAAGAAAAAAAAAGGGGGGGGACAATGTTCATAGCATGGTAGCATCTATGTAAATGTCAAAAAAAATACTGAAAACGTTTACATTAAATCTTCATTATCTTCAGCTCTTCACTGGCTGGTTCCAATTAATTTGTGAACTGAAGTTTCAGTTGCACTAGAAAAACTTTATACTACAGAGTGCCGTCTCAAGGCAGGATAACCGTCTTTGAAACTCATTAATGGCAACATAGCCAAAGTGTGTCAGTGGATGGGGAATCAAATCACCTGTATGTTGAAAAAATACACCAAACTGTTAACATCTCTTATCTAAGAGGAATTTCTAGTCTTTGTTAGCTTCCAAAATTCCTTCACTGACCAGGTATTTTCTAAATCTGAAAAAAAACAAAAACAAAAACAAAACTAAATTGCTCTTATGCTAAACAGAAGCCAGACTTCCATACTACAATACGTAGTATGTTGTAAAATTCTGTATGAGACATTCTGGGCAAGGCAAAACCATGAAGATAAGTGAGTGGGACACCAGCCACATACACCAAGGCTCAGCCAAGGGCCAGCTAAACAACAATGACAACTGCAGCCCAGAAAATAGCCGATCATTGTGGTGAGCACTGTAGTCCCAGCTACTTGGGAGGTTGAGGCAAGAGAATTGCTTAAGTCCATGGGTTGGAGGTTGCTGTAAGTTGTGACACCACCACACTTACTGAGGGCGACATAGTGAGACTCTGTCTCAAAAAAAAAACAAAAAAAAACAAAAACACACACACACACACAAAACACCCTAGAGCAGTGGTTCTCAACCTTCCTAATGCCAGGATCCTTTAATACAGTTCCTCATGTTGTGATGTCACTCCCAATGATAAAATTCATCAACTAGCACCAAAAATAATTTTATGATTGGGGGTCAACAAAACATGAGGAACTGTATTAAAGGGTCACAGCATTAGGAAGGTTGAGAACCACAGCCTAGAGGTTAGGGGTGGGATGAGATTGACTAAAAACTGCATGAGGGAAATCTGAGTGATGGTGGAACTATTATATCCCCCTCACTGTACTGGTTACACAATTAACAGTATTTGACAAAGTTCATAATACAACAAAAAGGCTTATTTTACTACATATAAATTAAATCAAATAATGATTACAAGTAATAATCTACTTGTGCCATAAACCAATTTTTAAGTGGGCAGTTTTAACAACCTAAAAAACAATGATGACCACTGAACTACTTTAAACTCAGATTTGTTCAGGGATCTATTGTTAAACAAAGTAAGCTGAAGTACAGATCCAAAATTCCCATTTGTTTATTTACTTCAAATCCAGAGCTGTTTCCACTCCACCATTCTCATTCTTCCAGAGTACTGAGGATCAGAGTTTCCACAAAGTGCATATGCAAGTGGGGTATGGCTGGACACAACAGTTCAAATGTTCAAGTACATTCATGATTTCAGTACACACAAATGTGGCTAGTGTCTCTCCTAACCTTCAAGTACTACCTTGCTTTCTGAGATAAAACGGGTAATGGATCCAAGTATAACCAAGCAGTAGACCCGTAGTGTGTGGATAGAGATCAACAATAAATATACTTCAGGCGGTGCCCATAGCTCAGTGGGTAGGGTACTGGCTACATACAAGGAGGCTAGTGAGTTCGAACCCAGCCTGGGCCAGCTAAACAACAATGACAACTGCAACAAAAAATAGCCAGGCGTTGTGGTGGGTGCCCATAGTCCCAGCTACTTGGGAGTCTGAGGGAAGAGAGAATCACTTAAGCCCGAGAGTTTGAGGTTGCTGTGAGCTATGACACCACAGCACTCTACCCAGGGCGTAGACTGGGTATTGAGACTCTGTCTCAGAAAAAAGAAAAGAAAAAGAAACCAAAGTAAGATTGTAATCTTTGCAAAACCAAATTATCTTAATTTTATAAAATAACAAAATGAAAAATACCTTGCATAGCAGACTACTGACAAATAAATGCTTTTCTATTATATATATATTACACAAAATAATTTGTTAATCAGTTATTTTCTATTTTTCAATATGCAAGGAAGAAATGCATACCTCTTACCCAGGGAAGTACATAGCCAAATAGTGAAAACCTGAAACTTAAGGGGGAGAGGGTTGGACAATGTTGCAATATGATTAACCATACCTATCCTTGACAAGAAAAATATGGGAATTTTTTTTGTTTCAGACAGAGCCTCAAGCTGTCCCCCTGGGTAGAGTGTTGTGGCATCACAGCTCACAGAAACCTCCAACTCCTGGGCTCAATCAAGGAGTCTCCTGCCTTCACTTCCCAAGTAGCTGAGACTCCAGGCCCCAGCCACAACACCTGGCCATTTTTTGGTTGCAGCCATCATTGTTGTTTGGCGGGCCTGGGCTGTATTCGAACCTGCCACCTTAGGTGTATATGTGGCTGGAGCCTAAGCCACTTGAGCCACAGGCGCAGAGCCCATTCTTTGTGCCTTGTGCCCCACCTAACTTCATTTGCAGTTACTGGGGAAAGCCAATCACCAGGTTTCAACAAGAACAGTACAGTGAAATACCTACTCAAATTTCTTTTAGGTCATTTTGTCTGACGACAAGTTTTAAACCTTGACTATTAACGGAACTACTCACATATTAATATAAAGACTCCTTTCCCATAGGCAGTTTCTACTTTATGTTTACCACCTAAGGAGATTTAAACTTGTAAAAAGCTTAGGGGGATCCTCTGTACGCTGTGATTCTCTACTATGCTGTTACCACGTGACAGTTAAAACCAAATCCACAGGGCTGATCAGTAAACTAAGAAAAACAAAACGCTAAGAGGAAATCATGACCAAATAAAATAAAACCCCATAGGGTAAAAAAGTACGCTGAAATGAAAGCCTGTAAGAATTCATTCTGCATACGCACAATACTCATGTTATTAGAAGAAGGCCCTTCATAAAAATAGCCAAGACTCTCAAACATTTGAGATGCTGGCTTAGTGAGATTGACAGACAACAGCTGGGGAGATTTTGTATTGATCTTGTAACATCCTGGCATACTTTGAAGAAATAGGGACAAGGGAACACTATAATAGCAAAAATAAGCTTTTAGGATTTCATTTTTAATTATTTAACCCTTTACACTGGAAACCCCTCCCAAATTCTCCTATTCTGGGATACCTCTTGTGTTTCCCAGCCCTGATTCCACAGTAATGTAGCCCCTTCCTCCCAAATAAAACAAACAAAAAAACACCTCGTGGAAAAACAAAAAGCACCTCCCTCCAAAAATACAGAGTAACTGATATAAAGAAACTAGTCACCCTTCCACCATCTCCCTGTTCCCTTTTATATTTTAAATCTTACTTTAAAGCCCAGGACTCTTGCCTTTTCTTCCGTAAAAGAGGGGCTAAGGCGCCGCCCAATTTACCAGGCCGCAAAAATACTACAACCCGCCACACTTCAAGGTTTTCTACTTTTCTCTCTTCGATCCTAACCCTCAATCCCGTACCCCTCCTCCTTCTGAGGCACATAAGATTTCTTGGCCCAAAAGCCTAATACAAAGGTGAATTCCAAACATTCCGCGACGCACCCCCAGGGTGTGGGGAGGGGTCGGAGGAGCCGGCCCCGGCGCTCCCGCACGGCCCAGGCCGAGGGGCGGGGGGAGCGGGTGTGACCACACAATCCCACCACCTCCCAGAGCCCAGGCCTGCTCCTAGCGAGCTGCCCGCCGCCCGGCAGGCGCTCGGCTTCCTCGCAATGGCCGGCCCGGGGCCGCACTAGCAGCCAGTAAGAGGTTCATAAGTAGGAAAAAGCAAGGGGTGTCCGACGTGTTGTTTCAAAACATAACGGAGCCCGGGCCCCCGAGACCGTTAAACCGCGGGCGGAGGGGGGAGAAGCAAGGAACCCAGCGGCCTCGGGCTTTGGCCTGGCCGCCCTCTTTGACCCCATACCTAACTCTCTGGGACCACCCACTCTCCCTCAGATCCGCTCTGGCCCCCAGAACACCCGACAAAATCGCAAAAGGGTCAGTACCTTGTAGAAAGCCCCGTTGGAGCCGCGAACCTCCACCGTCAGCTCCGCCATGTTGGAACCGCAAAGGCCGCTGGGAAGAGATTCTAGAAACTTTCCAACCAGAGGGGAGGAGGGGGAGGGACGTAAAGGAGGCGGGGGGAGGGGCGGGGAAAACAGGGCGGGGATTGGGTTCCCCCGCCCTGCACCCCTGGGGTCTCAGCGTGTCGCCCCGACTCTCCCGGTGGGCTCCCTCCGCTCCTTACATCACTTGCCGTGGGCTCCGCCCGCCGCCGCCTACGTCCGGTTCGCCTCCCGACACAATCGCCGACCTTTGCTGACCCGCCCCTAAGTCCCCGCCCTCCGGTGCCGGCTGCTCGCTCCGCTCCATCCAGTTGGTGCCTCCAGCTGCCCCGGGATGAACTGCCCAGGCGCTGCCTGTCCCCCTTGTCTGCCTTCACCTGCGCGCGGGCATCCCGGCCGTAAACTTCTGGAAGTGCCGGCAGCCCTAGAGTGGCTTTCTCACCTGGGGAGGAGCCACTTTGGGTGCTCAAGTTGCCCGGGGGGAGAGGGAGCCCTAAACTACGTGCACCTTGATGTGCTGCAAATGCTTTCGCCCCGCTCTATTTTTCAATCAGCCTTCCCTTGTCTCCTATCCCCCCCCCCACCCCACAGTTCCACACCCCCTCCAACAGTTTGGCCAAGCCTTGTTACCACTTTAGCTGTTTCAAAGTCAAACTGTTTTCCTGTCGGTTTACTTGTGCTCACACCCTGGAGCCGCGTTTCGGTTAATTCCCATTGTGAGAGGTAGTCAGGGAAACTTAATAGAACAGGATTCCACGTGTTCCCCTGCTGTAACGTATGCGAAGTTCCACAAATAGGATTGAAGCAGAGCCATTTCCTATGCCTTTTCTACCAGAACCTACCCCAGTTCTGGAAGCATTATAACAAATTGTGACTATTTAGTTATTTAGTTTAACAACTTAAAAGTAAACTCCCAAAGCAAGACCTTTGAAAACACCTAGAAAGGATCCTTTAAGTGTGTACTGTTGGGCTTGCATTATCCTTTTTGCAGAAAAACTTAATTTAAAAATTTTTTCTTTCTTGGCTCAAGGCCTGTGGCTCAATTGGTTAAGGCGCCAGTCACATACACCTGAGCTGACGGGTTCGAATCCAGCCTGGGCCCGCCGAACAACAATGACGGCTGCAACCAAAAAATAGCCGGGCGTTGTGGCAGGTGCCTGTGGCTCAAAGAAGAAGGGCCCTATATGCCGAAGGTGGCGGATTCAAACCCAGCCCCGGCCAAAAAAAATGTAAAAAAAAAAAAATAGCGGGGCATTGTGGCGGGTGCCTGTAGTCCCAGCTACTTGGGAGGCGGGGGAAGAAGAAACCCAGGGCGACGGCTTGAGGGTCTGTCTCAAAAAAAAAAATTTTTTTTTCTTATTATTTCTTTTTATAGGCCACACCCGTAGCTCAGTGGGTAGAGCACTGGCCACATACACCGAGGCTGGCGAGTTTGAACCCAGCCTGGGCCACCTAAACAACAATAACAATTGCAACAGTAAGATAGCCAGGCATTGTGGCGGGCGCCTGTAGTCCCAGCTACTTGGGGGTCTGAGGCAAGAGAATCACTTGAGCCCAAGAGTCTGAGGTTGCTGTTAGCTGTGACCCCCATGGCACTCTACCAAAAAATAATAATAATAACTCTTTGTAAAAAGAGTTTTCGTGTTTCCCTGTGTGGAGTGGGGGCATGCTAATCATGTATCATTCCAATTTCAGTATATGTGCTACCGGAGTGAGCACGCAGAAAAACTTTACAGGATGCTTTGCTGGCACTTGCACCCAGCCTGTTGGTCCTAAAAAAGATTAATATAATATTTGATCAGACTAATAAAAAAAAAATATTTAGACACAGAGATCTTGCCATGTTGCCCAGGCTGGTGTCAAGCTCCTGGCCTCTAGCCATGTTCCCACCTCATCCTCCCAAAGTGCTTAGGTTACAGGTGTGAGTCACCACACCTGGCCAGGATGTTCTTTTTAAAGTGTTGATTATAGTGAGAAGAGCTAAATACCCTTCAATAATAATGGCCACCATTTGTTTATTTATTAAGAAATCAAGGTTTGGGCAGCACTTGTGGCTCATTGGGTAGGGCGGCCACCCCATATACCAAAGGTGGCAGGTTCAAACCCAGGCCTGGCCAAACTAAAAAATAGCTGAGCATTGTGGCGGGTGCCTGTGGTTCCAACTACTGGGGAGGCTGAGGCAAGAGAATCACCTAAGCCCAAGAGCTTGGAGGTTGCTGTGAGTTGTGTGATGCCGCAGCACTCTACCAAGGGCGATAAAGTGAGACTCTGTCTCTACAAAAAAAAAAAAAAAGAAAGAAAGAAAGAAAAGAAATCAAGGTTTATAGTAACCAGTAATGCATGTATGATCATACTAGTTTAAAGTGGCAAAGCTAGGGATTAAGCCTGCCCTCCATTTCCCATTTCCAATGCCCACATCAACTACGGTTACAACGTCATGTAATATAATGGATCATTACACCAACATTAAAAATATATATATACACATATTTGTTTGTTTTATTGAGACAGAGTCTCACTTTGTTGCCTCTGTAGAGTACAGGATGTCATAGCTCACAGCAACCTCAAGCACTTGGGCTTAAGCGATTTTCTTGCCTCAACCTCTCTAGTAGCAGGGACTACAGGCACCTGCCACAACACTTGGCTATTTTTTGTTGTTGTTGTTTGTTTGTTTTTTTAGCAGGCCCTAGCTGCATTTGAACCCACTGGCCCCAGAGCATGAGTCCAGTACCCTCACCAGCAACAGGCACACCCAACTTTAAAATGTTGATGTAGTTCTATTTTCATCATCTAGAAAAGATGTTCAGGGTGGTGCCTGTGGCTCAAAGGAGTAAGGCACCGGTCCCATATTCCGGAGGTGGCATGTTCAAACCCAGCCCCAGCCAAACACTGCAAAAAGAAAAAGAAAAGATGTTCATTATTAAAGGGAAAAGAAAGTCACAAAACAACAAGCATAGTTCCATTTAAAGTATTTTGTTGTGGGGCAGCACCTGTAGCTCAAGGAATAGGGTGCTAGCCCCGTATACCAGAGGTGGTGGGTTCAAACCCAGCCCCGACCAATAAAAAATAAATAAATAAAGTATTTTGTTGCATGGAATGTTTGACTTCAGGAGTTCAAGACCAGGCCTGGCTCCAAAGTAACCTGGCATTGTGGTGGGTGCCTATAGTCCCAGCTACTTGGGAGGCTGAAGCAAGAACATCTCCTGAGCCCAAGAGTTTGAGGTTGCTGTGAGCTATAATGCCAGAGCACTCTACCCAGGGGGACAGAGTAAGACTCTGTCTCAAAAAAAAGAGATAGCCCCCGTGTAATTCTGAGGGAAATCGCTTGAGTCCAAGTGTTTGAGGTTGCTATGAACCGTGACACCAAGCACTATACTGAAGGTGACAGAGTGAAACTCTGCCTCAAAAAGTAAATAAATAAATAATTTGGGGGGCTCAGAGCCTGTAGCTCAAGCGGCTAAGGCGCCAGCCATATACACCTGAGCTGGTGGGTTTGAATCCAGCCTGGGCCTACCAAAAACAACAACAACTACAACCAAAAAATAGCCGGGCATTGTGGCATGTGCCTGTAGTCCCGGCTACTTGGGAGGCTGAGGCAAAAGAATCGCCTAAGCCCAAGAGTTTGAGCTGTGATGCCACAGCACTCTACCGAGGGCAAAATTTTTTCTTTGTGCTTTTGTATTGAGAGGGCCAGATTAACTCCATTTTGCTGTTTACTACACAAGCCCCACTCCTAGCTGTTTACTACACAAGCCCCACTCCTAGCTGTTTACTACACAAGCCCCACTCCTAGCTGTTTACTGCATAAACTCCATTCCTAGCCCTTCCGCCCCAAGCTCTGCCAGTAAAACCTGCAAAGCCACTCCCTGCTGCCTTCCCCCACCCCTCACTTGTGCCAATCCAAATCCTCCTTTACTAATGAAATCACCAACCACCAATCAAAAGTGTACTCATACCCTCCTCCCCTTCTTGCTTTCTGTACCCCATAAAAACTTCCTCCACCCCGGGTTCGGGGCTCTTCCTTGGCTTGCATGCCAGGAGGGACCAGGCCTGGGCTTGAATAAAACTCACCTTTTGTTTTTCACATTGGAGTGTGTCTCAGATTCGTCTGTTGGGGCTATTTGGGAGAATAATTTTCAGGCATAACAGTATGTTTTCTAAATTTTTGGTATTGAAAATAATACTGATAGGCTGGCAGTCTGCTTTTGCTTGCTGCTTGGTGTGCTCTTGGCCAAAGAATGAGGTGACATATCAAAGTGACACATCCAGCCTCTTGGAGCACTGTTATCCTAGTTATTTGGTTCCATGGACAAGCAGCAGATAACTTCACATGGGCAGCTTTTTATTGTGAAAGGCAAAAGGTCAATCTCTGAGTGGAGAGAGATGAATCAACTGACTTTCTGACAGTGCGTGAGTTTTTCCTTTTATTGGCCTGGTCAGGGAAGGGTTTGGGGAGGTGTGGGATGTTACCAAATGACTTAGGGTCGTTCTTAAGGTCCCTGATCTGCTGCAAGCTCCCACTCTGGAAGCCCACCTGTAAATGAGTTAATGACATCATAACCTTTGGTTACTCTAGGTCACTTTCCAAATCTATTCTGCCTGGAGCAGGGAATTCCCACATTGGTAAACTGTTCCATCCTTTCCCAGGGGTGGCTCACGATAGGATTAAGGGTGGAGCAGTACCAAAATGACTTGTCCCTTATCCTTCTTCCCAGGTGGGGCAATTGCTCCAGGGAGCAGCAAGGCAGGGCACCCTTGTCCATACAAGAGCCAGAAACCCTAGCTATCTACCTAACAGTTTACTTCTAATTTTTAAAAATTATAATTTAGGTCAGACACAGTTCCTCACGCCTGTAATCCCAGAACTTTAGGAGACTAAGGTGGCAGGGTCATTTCAAGAGGAGTTGAATGCCTCGGCACCTGTGGCTCAAGTGGCTAAGGCACCAGCCACATAACACCTAAGGTGGCAGGTTCGAATCCAGCCCGGGCCTGCCAAACAACAATGATGGCTGCAAACTCCC